CCCCCCCCCCCCCGCAGAGATTTCTGCCTTTATCTGGGCAGGACACGAGTCGTTCAGGAAGTTCAAACGCATCCTCTGCTCCCGTAAACAGCCTTTCCGTAGATGCGGGCTTATCTATAAACAAATTCGGTTTGATAGGAGCGCACCACATCTCTTCATCGCGGCGCCAACGTGAATTCACTTCAGTGCAACGCAGTTCCAACTGAAACGCTCCAGAGCAGGGGGTTCCCAACCTAGGTTCTTGGGACTGCAATTCCCAGAAGCCTTCACCAGTCGTTGTGCTGGCCGGGCTTTCTGGGCGTTGCAGTCCAAGAACACCAGGGCCACCCAAGGTTAGGAACTATTGCCCCAGAGCATAATAAATGAGTAGGGGATGCGAAGAGAAATCGTGCGTCTTGTATTTCAGCGGTCTTCCGCCGCTTTCTCCAGCAGGCGACGAACAAGCCGCCGTTCCTAGCAGGTCTCTACCAGTCATGCACAGAGTAGGCGTTCTTGTCTTCCTATTTCTCTTGTAAAAGCCCGCCATCCAATCGGAAGCCAGAATGAAAAATCCGTTCTATTTCTACCGGAAGTTGAGTGTCTAAGGGGCAGGAAGTGAGCCCACTCTTTTCTCCTCAATCGCTGCTCTGGGAGGCCGGAAGCGGAAGTAGCACCGGTAAGGCCGGTTGGTACCCGGAAGTTAGCCGGGTGATGGCGGCTGGTCGGAGTTTGAGCCGCTCGGAACGGAAGGCGGCGGCTCGTGCCGAGTTCCTCCTGCAGGAAGAACAGCGAGAGCGACGCAGGCAGGTACGTTGGGGTTCCGGTTGCCTTAGGAGGTGGACGGTCTCGGGTAACTCTGCGGCCAGGTCTCCGCCTTCGCCGGCCGGACCACGTTTCCTTCCCCATCCCCCTTTCTTTCCCTTCTGCTTCAGGTGTCGCGCATCCTGCACAAGCCGGCGGCGGAGCGGAGCTCTGAGGAGGCTGCGCTTCTCTCTGGATGCCAAGAAATCGTGCGGGATCTGGAGCGGCTTCACAAGAAACGCGAGAGACTGAGGCGCCGGTTAGAGGAGGTCAGTATCCTTCCAGCTCCGCTTGGGAAAAGTTAGTTGTTGTCCTTGTTTGGTCACTTTTGTGTCGTCTACCGCAAGAAAAATTATATTTCTAGCGATGTGCAAAAAAGGGAAATGTGGTGATCGCAAATTTCCTTGAAACGCAGGACATTGCCTAAGAACAGGCTTCCAAATAAATGCTTCAGCGTTTGAACCTGTCTGTTTCCTTACTCTTAACCTATTAGGTTTAATTTTCCTTGTTGATCAATAACACTGCAGGGGATGGATAAAATGGATAGAGGAAAGCTCTTTTCCCTCTTATACAATACCAGAACCAGGGGACATCTGCTCAGATTGAGTGTTTGGAAAGTGGGAACAGACAAAAGAAAATATTTCTTTATCCAGTGTGCTGTTTGTCTGTGAATCTCCTTGCCACAGGAGGTGGTGATGGCATCTGGCCTAGATGCCTTTAAAGGGGGATTGGACAGATTCCTGGAGGAAAAGTCCACTGCAGGTTTACAAGCCATGATGGGGAGGTATCATCTCCAGGCTTAAAAGGGAGGGGCCTCCAAATGCCAGATGCAGGGAAAGGGGTATCAGGAGACAGGTCTCTAGTTGTCTCATGTGCTCCCAGAGGCCTCTGGTGGGGCCTCTGTGAGATACAGGAAGCTGGACTAGGTGGGCCCTTGGCCTGATGTGGCAGGGCTCTTCTTATGTTCCCCACTCCTATTAACAAGTCATATTGCAAGTATATATTTATTATTATTTTTTGGTGCCACAACATGCTTTCCATTAGAAAGCTGGTCGAGTGGAAGAAACAAGAAAATAAATTGAACAGATGTATACGAATTTTCATTACATCAGAAAGCAATCAGAATGATATAGGACTGAACTGAAATGTCATGCTTTGGAAACATTTTCAGTCCTTCGTTTGTATGTTTGTTAGATTTGTGATGAACCTGAAGAATTGAGAAGAAAAGTGAGCAAGCTCTCAGCAGTTGTGCGGGGAGCTAAGCATCTTATCATATATACAGGAGCCGGCATCAGTACAGTAAGACTATGTTGATGATTCTTCTAACACATCTGTGATAAAATAGGACACTGATTTTTAGGTCTTTAAGCATCATGCAACAGCATTATTGTTGAAAATTGTGATGACTCTCATTACTTGGTGAGAATGCGTTAAACACCAATTTTAGATTCCATATAGAATTCTTGATAATTGATCACATGGGTGGTGTGATACCATAAATTGTGTCAGCTTTCATTTCACTTTGCATTGAATATTGAAGTTGATAGCACAGTGATTTTGGTATGTTTCAGCAGAGCTGGAGGTTTGATTGTGTGCCTCTGTGCCTCCTTAATGGACTGGATTCAATGATCCATAGAGTTATTTCTGGCTCTGCAATTCTGAGAATATCTTAACTGCTGTATCGTAATTACTTGCATATACTTTGCCATCTTGGACTTATAATATATGTTTTTTGTGTTATTGTTTTTAAATTTGTAAACCACCCAGAGTAGACCCTGGGTAAATAAATAAATAAATAAATAAATAAATGAATACATGAATAAATGAATAAGTAAGATGCTGATTAATATTATTATTATTTTGATGCCCTTGAAAGAAATTAAGATATTGCTGTGAATGATGTTTTGCTAGAACTGATCCTGATGATCATCAGTAGGTGGCATTCTAAAGTAGTGCAATGGACCCAGTGTTGACTATGCTGCCCTGTTTCACAGAGCTTGACAGAAACAAGTAACATCCTATAAGTTCACCTCCATCCAAACTGTAACATCAGAGTCAGGCTCCTGCATACTCCTCACCTCTCCCCTAGAGGCAGGGGACACTGGAAAATTGTAAAGCACTTAATTGCCTCTTGCTGTCTCTGTGTTTTAGAAAAAAATGGAGTTGTTTATCAGACTTGCCCTGAAAAGATAAGGATAGAGGAAGCAAGCTATGCGGCTGGCCAGGCTTCTTCTGAAACACTGTAGAGTGAAACTGTTCTGCCAGTTCGGAGGTGGAAGAACAGGGTATATTAATCGTACCTTTGCTTTGTGAGCAGGACAAGACATACCCAAAAAATCAGAGTTCAAAGAAAAAATTGGAAACATACTTCCTCCTCATAGAGGAAAACAATGAGAGTATTTCTCAGAAGGGATTAAGCATGGCTTCATTGAGCTGATGGAAACACACTTGTGCTATAAATGGGCATGGATTTTTGAGGCTGGTAGTAGGCTTGGTACAGTGTAGGGTCAGTTGAACCAGGGACTGTGAGATGGGTAGAGCTTATAATGAGTGATACGTAGAGTTCTGTTACCAATTTGCGGGAGGCTCTGTATCCTTGAGGTACTATCTTGTAAAGCCCTCTTCTTTGGTTTTCCTGGTAATATAGGCAGCTTCAATTCCTGACTACAGAGGCCCAAATGGGGTGTGGACAATGCTGCAGAAAGGAAGGAATATCAGGTAATTTACACACTGACAGTTCATATTCTTTCCTCGTGCCTTGGGAATTTATTGGCATATTTTTTTCAATGTTGGAGACTATATTGGGGGAATAATTGTGAATGTTATTTGCCTCCATGTACCAGGGCTACAGATTTGAGTGAAGCAGAACCAACACTTACGCACATGTCCATTGCAAGTTTGCACAAGCACAAACTGGTAAGTCCCAAAAGTGGCCAGAGAAGATAGCAACGTTTGGCAGTGGGACAAATGTGTCTGGAAGATTTATGGTGATGCAGAAACTGAGAATGCAGCACCCATTTCCTTCCTCCATCTCACTATTCTTATGCTATATTGGTGGACAGAGAAGAACGGGAATATGGGACTTAGAATAATGAAAAAAAAACCCCATAAATATTGCTCGTTGCAGGCTACATTGATAAGTCTGAAAATAACCTCCCAGTTAGGTATTCAGCCCCAGCAAAGAAAAGAATTGTAGGTTAAAGTGATAGCCCATAAATAGTTACCACTTGCCCTGGAAAGTGTCCAGGAATCCATAAAGGAGAACAAGTTTATGGCATGTAGGCCACTGGCACAGTATCTTCTTTCTAGGTTTCTGTAAAAGACTGCAGTATGCACAGGGTGTGTTGACCAAACTATGAATGAAAACCTGTTGCTTAGCATAGTAGAGATTTGGCGAATAAACTCACCATTGATTCAAATTGGCTACTCTACATGCGATTTATTATGCATAGTTGATTCTACAAATCCTCATGGATAAAGTGGGCCTGTTCTAGTACAATTTACTACACTGATCAGCAATATTTTAGCCAGTATAACTGAAACACATTGCATATGGGAAAGATAAGGATGCATAAGATGTTTTGAACTACAGCTGTAGTCTCCCTTACTGTTAGCTTTGTTGGCTTAGGGTTCTGGGAATTATGAGTTAAGAGGGCCCAGCATTCCCTATCTTGGTATGTACATTGCAAATGACTAGTCTCGTTTTGATACACAGCTGTGTTTGCATTAGTTTGTATTGGTTTAGTTTCCAAATTCTGGATATGTTGTCAATCTATAGTTTCTGCTCAACATGTTGATGTTCTGTCATTTTTTTATACAAGACCATGTAGTCATCAGCTGCACTGCATTCACAGTTGGTCCCTGAAATAGGGTTGAGGCTGGGAATACAAGATGTTTCTGCCCTTCCTTTATCCAGCCACCACAGTTTGCCACGTTCTTTAAGCTCCTGCCAATTAAATATCTAATACTTCAGAGTGCCATTACTCTGCATCGTGCCATTGTCCTGTTTTGGCAGAAGCAGAATAATAAGAAAAAGAGGTTGAGTTTGGCTGCCTGAAACTTTGCCTATTTGAACGTTGTTTTTAACTCTTCAGGATACTGTCTCCATCCTCTCGTCTGCTTATTTCTCTTCTAGGTTCAGCACGTGGTGTCGCAAAATTGTGATGGACTCCACTTGCGCAGCGGGCTGCCTCGGGAAGCCCTATCTGAGCTTCATGGAAACATGTATATAGAGGTGAGTACCTTCAGTGAATGGGGATTAATGCCTTACTGGGCTGTAAGAATTCTAACAGATTCTTATGACAGCATGAATTTTATATACAAAATACTGGAAAAAGGAGGCGACACCAACAATCCAGGAGTTAATAGAAGAAGTAGCCTGCATAATTAAATTGTAAACCGCCCAGAGAGTGCTTGAAGCGCTATGGGGCAGTATATAAGCAGCACGCTTTGCTTTTTTTTTTTTAAGTTTCTTAGAAGCAGCAGAGATGGATAGTTAACTGACGTAATAAAGGACAAAGAAATTGTTGAGGCTACGAAAAAAATGGGAACCTTTGTATAACTTGATGAGAGACGAGAACATGAATGGTTTAAGATTACAAGAAAGAAGACATGAGATACCATTGTAGATCTTAAAGGCTTAGACAAAATTGCCAAGATTAGTGTGGAGCAAACTTAGTAAGAAAGCATATAGGGTAAAAGTAATAATGATATATATTGTTCTCTACCATGTTCTGTATTTTTTTAATTACCCGGTACCTTGTTTCAAAT